TTGTTCTTGCACAGTGACAAACACTCCCGGTTCGGTGTCAGAAGCCCACGGCTCTTGTTCTTGCACAGTGACAAACACTCCCGGTTCGGTGTCAGTAGAGTGGGGGAACGACAGGCTGGAGTTTACAACCTCCCTTTTATTGCTCGTTTTATTACAGCGGGGCGTGCTAATCACCGAGCTAGAGTGAGAGAGTACAGAGGAGGTATTTGTGTTCGACTGATGACCATAAGATTGTGATTATTTTACAATTATTTAGATCTACTTAAACCCAACAATTTAGTACTTTAATGATCATATAAGGTTTTTTTGTGTCTTTTAACCATACATGATACACACTGTAGTACATCATGCAATGTTATAAGAGCGGACGTGGTTATGATGCGTATTTGGCTATTTGTGATGGTTCTCTGCACCGAGACCTTGCGGATGTCGAAACCCTGCTGCACCGCGCGGGGCAGGAGTGCGTGCGTGCCTGGGGCAGTCTGGGGGTGCTTACAGGAGTTTTCTGTGCAGCTGGGTCAGCGTGCATGGCCAGGAAGGGGTTGGCTGTGATGGCGCCCTGCGCTGTGGGAAGCAGGCTGTTCATGGGCAGCTGGGCAGCGGCGGAGAGCTGGAGCTGCTGGAGCTCGTGATGCTGCTGCTGCTGCTGGTGTTGGTGGTGATGGTGGTGGTGGTGCTGCTGCTGCTGCTGGTGTTGCATCAGTTGGTACAGAAGAGCCTGGTGCTGCTCCTGAGAAAACCGAGAGAGAGAGAAATCCAGGTCAGAGCACAGTCTCCCCGGGTAAAGGGCATCACATATACTCGTACATGAAAGAAAAGGCGTGTCGAGTGTTTCAGTAACAAATGAATAAAAATGTGATGATCTGCTAGATATTCATTTGCATTTGTGGTGCATCATTGACATCTTGTAAACCTGTCACAAATGCAATAGCTCTGCAGATCATGTAAACGTTTGAAAGCACGGAGATAAAAGAGATTTTAGTAGCAAACAGTCTTAAGACTTTCTATGCATACATGAAATGATATCATCCTGACACCCAGAACCTCACTGCTTAATTTCAATCCACGTTGTAAATTGTAAATGGTAAATTCAATCCACAAAAATAACTTCTGCGGGGCAGAAAAATAACTTCTGATCCTAACTTTAATGGCGCAAAACTCCAAAACAAAATGTGGTTGCCTCTACACACTGACGCATAGACAATGTTGGATAAGATCTGTTGCTGTATTCTCTTCATCATAATAAATGAATGATTCATTCCATCTTTGGAAAAGGAAAAGAATGATAATATCTACAGTATTTGATAAAAGTGCTTATGCAAGTTTTAAAAGCAATTTCTAAAAGTACCACCTCAAGTCAGGGAAAACCCAAGGCAGGTTACATGGCTTCTTTACTTTAATGGAAATTTTAGAAATAAACATGCGATAGTTTAAAAACAATGACAACAAGACTAAAATCAATACGACATCAGGAACAAGTTCTACAGCCCCAAACCAAAATCTCTGTTTTGGACCACACTTGTAATCTTTTAGTCCTTTCTTTTTCTGGTCCATTCTTAGTAACCTTTTTCTTAAAATACAGTGGAGATCACATGAGCTAGCTGGTCGGTTCGGGAAAATCAGAGGCTCACAAACTGTTAAGTCATCAGGAGTTGTCACTCAAATGGCAGTGTCATCTCGTCAGATAACCCCAAGCAGTGAAGACAGTGTCCCCCCATCTTATCCCCTTCTGTCGAGAATTTCCAGCAGTTCTTCCCAATTCCATTTCCAGAGCACAAATAAAATAATCAATCTGGAGCTCCAACATGCACCAAAACCAGAGTGATCACCACAGAATTCTGATACTAGTTTCCCTGCCTTGGGCACTGATGTTCGGATGGAACATTATGGAGTGATTGTCTGAAAATGGACAAAATGGACAAATGCCCTGCTGTAAAAAGGGCTTGTGATGCCTGTGAACTTCACCAGGAGAGAACATACCTGGAGCCCAGGGGAGGTCCTGGAGAGACCAACACAGTACAGACTCTTGGTGATAAACCACTTGGCAGGACACACTAGCAAAACTGCCCAACTGGGGTGCTGAGATGGGTCAGAACTTGTGCTTCCATACATTGGTGAAACATCACTGTCCTCCAGGGAGCAATTTGCCCCTTTCTACACTGATACAACTAGTATCAACTTCTACACTCAGTAAAACCTGGTGCATCTTGTTGTAGGTTGTATTCCATGCATTTAGTGTCTGTAGAATCTAGCATAATACACAAAATGCACATAACACACCTTTTCTTTAATTTGTGGAGATCTATCATTGTGTGACAATGTACAATCAAATAGTGCTATTTTCACATTTCAAGGTTAATGACAAGACCTGTTTTACCCCAGAAACGTCCAAAAATATTAGCTCTGCAGGTGAAGAATATAACAGTGAATGCTAAAAATGTGTTTACTCATAATAGACTGGTCCCAACACATCCATCCACTTTTCCTACCTCAACCCTTTAGTAGGAGATTCTGATTTAGAGGTGTTCAGTCATAATCCCTCAGATTTATACCACTGTGCTTGGCTTAGGAAACGTAGACCAGCTGTCTGGTTTCTAACGGCTTCATCCAATTCAGGGCCACAGGGGAGCCAGAGCCTCACAACATGCTACGTGAAATATTCCTTGCTAAGTATCTTGAGCATCCAGTCCAGGATGTACCCTTGTGCCCATTGCTTGCTGGGACAGGCTCCAGCTCCCCTGCGACCCTGAATTGGACGAAACGGTTAAAAAAAAATGGATGGATATCCTGGGTGCGTGATCTATTCGACCATCTTGGGAGCCGCCCCTATTTCTCAGTGCCGCGCACAAGAGCGGGAATGAGGCGGGCGGAGGCGGCCCGGGCCGAGACTCACCGGGATGGGCTGCTGGGAGGAGAGGAGCTGCTGGAGCTGGTGCTGGTGAAGTAGGAGCTGTCTCTGCTGGTCCGAGAGGAGCCCCAGGCCGGGTGCGCTGTAGCGGGAAACACCGACGGGACAGTGAGTCACCGGGGCGCAGGCAGGAGTAGCCCCCACCCCAGTCACAAAGCACACCACCGACACAGCGACTCGAGAAGCACTCCTGCCGTGTTCCGCCAGAGAAGTGAACGACGAGGTAAAACTGAACTCGGCGCTAGAGTTTACCTGGGGTGAAAATCATAACTTTTTGTTGACTGTATTAACTATGTTTTGTATTAATGATGTTCAGGAGGAGACTATTCCTTCATGCTGTCCCACACTCTGAAGAAGACAGTCCTCGTGAGGGACATGTTCCAATGCACTCTGGACATTACATAATCCATTCAACTCTAAATTAGAGTAGATAATTCTATAGAAGGTCAACTTGAAAAAGTGAAAACCAGCTTCTAGAGAGTGACTGTGCAGCAGGGAGTTTTCACACATTTAAAATTTCAAGCTATCCCCAGTGACATTCTAGTTTACCTGCCAACTACAATACACCATGAGGGAAATCATTTCTATATACCTAGTACACAAAAAACCCCACTTGCTTCATAGATCTGGGAAAGAAAATCCAATTGAACCTTGATATTGAAAATGATATTGATATTGAAAATGAAAACAGCGACAGGATTAATGAACAGGGGATCTCCACCTGTTCACCACATCTGTCATGCCCACAGCAGACAGCTCACCTAGCTTTAGATGGTGCAGTAGTGCTGCAAACCAGGTAAACGAATGCGGGAAAAAGAGAAAGTGCAAAGGTCAACTATATTGACTGTATTGTTTTACAACTTTTTTTCAAAGTAGCACTTTTGTCAAATTTAGATTTTTTTCTCTGCTATCCACCATTTTTTGGGGGGAATTGCCAACTGTGTTCATTTCTCATGTCTCAGCCCTGTACCAGAGGTTTAAAGCCAACTGGATAGAGGCCCTTTCCTTAATGACGGTACCACAGGCCTGCCTGCAGGTGCCCAGGAGGTCTCAGGGGTCTCTGTGTCTTGAGAGCCGAGAAAGCTCACCCTCAACCCTGTACCACCGCTTGGGGAACCCCAGTCATAATTGGCTCATGACGTGTCCAAGGCTTGAACCCGGGATGCTTATCGCAGAGAGCTCAAACTGCCCTTGGGTGAGCGCCTTTACTGTTGGAGTCCAAAGGGAAATCATAAAAGCTGCTGCCATTCAACCAGAAACCTCCAGAAAAGAAAACCTTGTGAACAGCTTCCAAAAACATAATCCTTAAAAAGGTGTTAAATACAGCTTTGCTAGATAGAAGGCTGCTCAAGCTTGCACAGCTGCAGCGATGGAGCAGAAGAAGCTGCAATCTTACCCAAAGTACAGCAGTGGTACTGTGCTGCACGCACACGCATGCAAAACCCCCGAAGACTTCATGCTTTTATCCCCCTCCCGGAAACAATGATAGGGGATTACTGCATGCATGGCTTTAGCAGCAAAGCTCAGACTCGACTGACACCGACAAGAACACTCAGGACAGCTTGTTTACAGGAACGACCATGACTTCGGGGGGCGTTAGTTACTGAGGGCAGCGTACCTGTTGTTGAGCGTGCTGGGGATGGGGAGGGACACGTTGGGAGGCACTGCGGCGTGGGGCAGGGAGCTGGGGTTCTGTGTTATGGATGGAGGAGTCTGGATGACGCCATTCAGGGCTCCCACTGCTCCGACGATCCCATTCATGGCCAGCTGGCCTCCCTGAATGGCTCCTATCAGTCCGGTGACGCCTGGCATGGCGGGGATGGTGGACGTCACAGTCTGCATGCCGCCGGCCAGCGTCCCCACCGTCACTCCGTTGACCTGCTGGACCGCG